AAGGATGTTCTCACTGTCTTTCAAAGGAGATCAACCAGGACGGTGAAAGAACTAGAAACTATGTCACTTTAGGAACTTTTAAAGAAATCGAGTGGCCAAGTACATTGGCTCATGCCTGTAATCCCAGCACTTTGGGAGGCCAGAGTTTCAGGAGTTCAAGACCAGCCTTGGCAATAGCAGGACCTCCATGTTTACAAAAACAGTTTTAAAGATTCATCAGGCATGGTGGTGCATGCCTGTAGTCCTAGCTACTTGGGAGACTAAAGCAGGAAGACTGCTTGAACCCAGGAGATCAAGGCTGCGGTGAGCTATGATTGCACTACTGTGCTCCAGCCTGGGTGACAGAGTGAGACCCTATGTGTGTGTGTGTGTGTGTATATATAAATTTTTTTTTTTTTTTTTTTTTGAGACAGAGTCTTGCTTTGTTGCCCAGGCTGGAGTGCAGTGGCGCGATCTCAGCTCACTGCAAGGTCCACCTCCCAGGTTCACGCCATTCTCCTGCCTCAGCCTCTCGAGTAGCTGGGACTGTGGGAACCCACCACCACACCCAGATAATTTTTTTGTATTTTTAGTAGAGACGGGGTTTCACCGTATTAGCCAGGATGGTCTCAATCTCCTGACCTCATGATCTGCCCACCTTGGCCTCCCAAAGGGCTGGGATTACAGGTGTGAGCCACTGCGCCTGGTCTGGAGACCCTATCTCTTAAAAAAACAAATGGGCCAGCGCAGTGGCTCATGGCCGTAATCCCAGCACTTTGGGAGACTAAGGCAAGCGGATCACAAGGTCAGGAGTTCAAGACCAGCCTGACCAACATGGTGAAACCCCGTCTCTACTAAAAATACAAAATTTATCCAGGCATGGTGGCACACGCCTGTAATCACAGCTACTCAGGGGGCTGAGACAGGAGAATTGCTTGAACCCGGGAGGCGGAGGTTGCAGTGAGTCGAGATCGTGCCACTGCACTCCAGCCTGGGCGACAGAGTGAGACTTTGTCTCAAAAACAAAGAAAGAAAGAAATTGAGGAAATTTTGGTTGGAAAAGAGATTCAGTGTGAACAAATTGCAGTCTTCAAGAGTATTCATTAAAAGAGGGGTTACATTTATTCCATGTGGCCCAAAGGTAGAAGTAGGACCACTAGGTGGAAGCTCTCACAAAACATGTTCAATTATATGTAGGCCACTTAGTAGAGATATTGTAGAAGGGATTAAAATGCTGGAATCCCTTCTAATCCTGAGGCACTATGATTCTCTGATTTTAGCCTTTATATAGTCCAGATCCCTAGAGAATCCCTTAGTTTGGAAGACCAGAGGAAATACTCGAAGAAGCAGAGTTGAAGGGAGATAGTTCCCATGGAATAAGGGGCTTGGAGGAAAAAGAAAAATGCAAAGATCAAATTTTACTTTAGAATTAGAATTCTAGGTTATTGGTCACTACTTTATTTTATTTTTTTGAGACGGAGTCTTGCTCTGTCGCCCAGGCTGGAGTGCAGTAGCGCGATCTCGGCTTACCCCAAGCTCCACCTCCTGGGTTCACACCATTCTCCTGCCTCAGACTCCCGAGTAGCTGGGACTACAGGCGCCTGCCACCACGCCCAGCTAATTTTTTGTATTTTCAGTAGAGACGGGGTTTCTTTTTTTTTTTTGACAGTTCTGCTGTTGCCAGGTGGAGTCAGTGGCGATCTCCTCACCCGCCTCCGTTCCCGCCTCCTCCTCGCCTCCTGAGCTGGACCAGGGCCACTGCGCCTATTTTTTTTTTTTTAGACGGTTTCACTGTGTCTCGATCTCCTGACCTGTGATCCGCCCCTCGCCCCAAGTGCTGGATACAGGCTGAGCCACCGCCTGCCGGACGTCACCGTGCCATGTCCGATCCTACCTCGGATCCCCCGCCTCGGCCTCCCAAAGTGCTGGGATTACAGGCGTGAGCCACCGCGCCCGGCGATCACTATTTTTAAAATCAAATCTGTGTTCCTGATTTTCTGGAATCATAAAAGATTCCAATATCTCTATCCCAAAACATATATATAAACACATTAACCTCACAATTGCATGGTATAGTGAGGCATGGGATCCTATCAGAATATAGAATAGCTGGAACTGCTTTTATTTTTCCCTGTATTTAAGAAGAAGTTCCCCGGGAGCTCTTTCCTTCTAAGAGGGCATAACAGGTAAATCTAGATAGTTACACATGACTTTTCCATCCAGTTTAAGTGGTAAGAAAGCAAGATAGTGTCTTTATCACTGGAGTTATTTCCAAGTTCCATGGATTTCTATGAGTTTCTTTTTATGCTGTCTCCCTCAAACTAACAGAAAGTGGGCTGCACGAGGCATGGTGGTTCATACCTGTGATCCCAGTGCTTAGGGAGGCCACAACAGGAGGATTGCTGGAACTCAGGAGTTCGACACCAGCCTGGGCAGCATGGTGAGACCTATCTCTACAAAAAATTTAAAAACCAGCTGAGTGTGGTAGCACACACCTATGATCCCGGCTACTTGGGAGGCTGAGCCTAGGGAGGTCAAGGCTGCAGTTAGCCATGATTGAACCACTGCACTCCAGCCTAGGCAGTGAAACAACACCCTGTCTTTATTTTATTTTATTTTATTTTTTTATTTTTTGAAACAGAGTCTCCCTCTGTTACTCCAGCTGGAGTGCAGTGGCGCAGTCTCGGCTCTGCAACTTCCACCTCACAGGTTCAAGCGATTCTCCTGCCTCAGCCTCCCAAGTACCTGGGATTACAGATGCATGCCACTACGCCTGGCTAATTTTTTTGTATTTTTAGTAGAGTTGGGATTTTGCCATATTGCCCAGGCTGGTCTCCAACTCCTGAGCTCAAGCAATCTGTCCACCTCAGCCTCCTAAAGTGCTGGGATTACAGGCATGAGCCACCGCGCCTGGCCCAGACCGTGTCTTTAAATAAATTAATACAGCGGGGAAACTCAGTAGCATATATTTGTAGTTCTACTTTTTCTTTCTTTTTTTCTTCTTTTTGAGACGGAGTCTGCCTCTGTCATCCAGGGGGAGTGCAGTGGCGCAATCGTGATGGCTCACTGCAACCTCTGCCTCCTGAGTTCAAGTGATTATCCTGCCTCAGCCTCCTAAGTAGCTGGGACTACAGGTCCGTGCCACCATACCTGGCTAATTTTTGTATTTTTAGTAGAGACAGGGTTTCACCATGTTGGCCTGGCTGGTCTTGAACTCTTGACCTCATGATCCACCCACCTCAGCCTCCCAAAGTGCTGGGATTACAAGCATGAGCCACTGCGCCTGGCCTCTTTTTTCTCTTTTTTTTTTTGAGACAGAGCCTCACTCTGTTGCCCAGGTTAGAGTGCAGTGGTGCTTGCAACCTCAAACTCCCAGGCTCAAATGATCCTCCCACCTCAGTTCCTGGAGTAACTGGGACTACAGGCACCACCACACCCAGCTAATTTTTGTATTTATTTTTAGAGACAAGGTTTTGCATTGTTGCCCACACTGGTCTTGAACTCCAGGGCTCAAGAGATCCACCAGTCTCAGCTTCCTAAGGTGCTGAGATCACAAGCGTGAGCCACCATACCTGGTCTTATAGTTCTACTTTCAAATGGCAGAAGTAGCCACAGTCTTCTCATCATTCTTTTTCATTCATTCATTGACAGGATCTTGCTCTGTCTCCTAGGCTAGAGTGCAGTGGTAGAATCATGGCTCACTGCAGCCTCCACCTCTTGAGCTTAAGCAGTTCTCTCACCTCAGCCTCCCAAGTAGGTGGGACTACAGGCACATACCACCATGCCTGACTAATTTATTTCATAGAAACAGGGTCTCACTATGTTGCCCAGGCTGGTCTCAAACTCCTGGGCTCAAGCTATCCTCGCACCTCGAATTCCCAAAGTGCTAAGATTACAGGTATGAGCCACCACACCTGGCAAGAGGGTTTTGCTATGTTGCCCAGGCTGATCTAGAATTTCTGGCCTCAGGTGATCCTCCCACCTTGACCTCCCAAAGTGTTGAGATTACAGGCATGAGCCACCACGCTTGGCCTATGAGGGATTTTATACCCAATTTATTGTAGGCAAATTCAAGAAAATTAGCATCCCATAAAAAGCTTCAAGTCTTTTTCATTGCCATTTTAGCTCAGTTGACACTTCCGGGAGACTAGTTCATAGTTAGTCAGCCCTTTCCTCACTGGGCATTCCTTGGTGTTTCCTCCGGCCTGTACAGGAGTGGTCTTTACTTCCCCTTTTTTTTTTTTTTTTTTTTTTTTGAGACTGAGTCTGGCTCTGTCGCCCAGGCTGGAGTGCAGTGGCCGGATCTCAGCTCACTGCAAGCTCCGCTTCCCAGGTTTACGCCATTCTCCTGCCTCAGCCTCCGGAGTAGCTGGGACCACAGGCGCCCGGCACCTCGCCCGGCTAGTTTTTTGTATTTTTTAGTAGAGACGGGGTTTCACCGTGTTAGCCAGGATGGTCTCGATCTCCTGACCTTGTGATCCGCCCGTCTCGGCCTCCCAAAGTGCTGGGATTACAGGCTTGAGCCACCACGCCCAGCCTACTTCCCCTTAATGAGAAGTACAGGCTTGGTGGAAGAGTCTCCAGAAGCAGAACTTTCCTGAACCACAGCTTTGCTAGGAGATGCCCTAGAGGATTTCAAATCTATGGTTGTATTTACTTAGAGCCTTCTCCTTCCCACTAATCTCTGACTTAAGAGATCTCAGAATTAGCTAAATTGGACCTGACATCTTAGCAATGTAGAAAAAATGAGGCAGAAATGAAGCCACCTTTGCTGTTGCTCACCCTCCTCAGACTGGGGAAAAAGAACCACTACTACCATCTCTAATGTAGTAGATACCACATTGTCTTTAATTTACTCAGCTAGCTATCAAGAAGGTTTCTGAGGGTTAAGGTGGCAAGGGAAGATCTTGAAACAAGCAGTTGCTTCACCAAGAAGCCTGGAATATGGAATAGATAGAACAAAGGATCCACTTTGTTATGAAACTGAACTGCAATGCCAATGCTCCTGTCTTGGTACAGTGTCAAGGCCATTATCTCAGATGGTTTATTGTTCCCTACAAGGCCATTTACAGCTCCACAGTTCTGTGAGGTGATTGCATCACTGCCAGGAAAGTGCTCTCTTTCCTTCCTGGTTTTCTCCAGTCTTGCTCCTAAGACTCATTTATTTCACCAATCAGATGATCAGCCTTTCTTTTCTTTGTTACCCCAAAACCCTTATCTGCCTGATACATCCAGTAGCAGATTTTGGGATGAGATCACCATCAAGCATGGTGAGTTTCCCAGAAAATACCTTTCCTATCTGGTTTGCAGTACTCGAATAGCCAGTTTGTCTTTGTTTGCCTTTGATAATTGGGTAATCTAGTCATCCTTGTTGGCAGAGAAAGTGTTCACAGCTCTCCAGTGGCCAGCAGATTCAGGAATCATTTTTATTTCCTGAAAAATATTATAATATTTGCATGGATTTAAATGACATCTTTTTTTTCAGGTCTTTATAAATATTTGCTTACCATTGGTGAAGCAGGTATTATCTTCATCTTATAGTTGGGGAAACAGAAGCCCTGAGAATTACCAACAAAATGATTTGGCCAGAATTGTACATAAAACATAAGGGGCCCACATTTCTTGGCCAGGCGTGGTAGCTCACACCTGTAATCCCAGCTACTCGGGAGGCTGAGGTGGGAGAATCGCTTGAACTCGGGAGGTGGAGGTTGCAGTGAGCTAAGATCATGCCCATTGCACTCTAGCCTGGGCAACAAGATCGAAACTACAGGCCAGGCGTGGTGGCTCACGCCTGTAATCCCAGCACTTTGGGAGGCCGAGGCGGGCGGATCACTTGAGGTTGGGAGTTCGAGACCAGCCTGACCATCATGGAAAAACCCCACCTCTACTAAAAATACAAAATTAGCCGGGCGTGGTGGCATGGCTGTAATCCCAGCTGCTGGGGAGGCTGAGGCAGGAGAATCGCTTGAACCCAGGAGGTGGAGGTTGTGGTGAGCTGAGATTGTGCCATTGCACTCCAGCCTGGACAACAAGAGCAAAACTCCATCTCAAAAAAAAAAAAAAAAGATCGAAACTACGCCTCAAAAAACAAAACAAAACAAACATAAGGGGCCCACATTTATTTGACATGCAGTTCAGTGCTTTGAACAAGAGCTGAACTTCTTAGAAGCATATTCCCTTATCTTGGAAATGGGAAGGTATAGATTCAACCTGAAAGGAATCACAGGGTTAAACTCTGTTCATTTTTCTTTCACAACAGGCTGCTGCTGGGCCCCTTGACATGTCTCTACCTTCCACACCAGACATCAAAATCAAAGAAGAAGAGCCCGTGGAGGTAGACTCATCCCCACCTGATAGCCCTTCCTCTAGTCCCTGTTCCCCACCACTGAAGGAGAAGGTAAATTCTGTACCAAGGGTCATCTCAAATGTTAATTGATAAAGCTTTGATTCATTAATTATATAAATAGTGTGTCCTAACTACTCAGGACACCAAGATGGTAGAATCACTTGAGCTCAGAAATTCAAGACCAGCCTGGGCAACATGGAGAAAGAAACCCCATCTCCACTTAAAATCCGTAAATTACCTGGGCGTGGTGGAACATGCCTGTAGTTCCAGCTACTTTGAGAGGATGAGGTGGGAGGATCACTTAAGCACTGGAAGTCAAGGCTGCAGTGAGCTGTGATTGCTCCACTGCACCCCAGCCTGGGCAACAGAGTGAGACTGTCTCAAGAAAAAAAAAAGTATGTGTTATAGGAGGACTGATTGTATTTAAAGGAATGATATTTAGAAGATTTCTGTAAATTATACCTATTCTTTTTCCCAGCAATTCCATTTATAAGTCTATATAGAAGAGAAATTAGTGCATATGTCCACCAAAAGAAGTATGTTAGAATGTTCATAGCAATTGTATTCTTTTTTATTTATTTTATTTATTTATTTATTTTTTTTTTTGAGACAGAGTCTTGCTCTGTCGCCCAGGCTGGAGTGCAATGGCCTGATCTTGGCTCACTGCAACCTCTGCCTCCTGGGTTTGAGCGATTCTCCTGCCTTAGCCTCCCAAGTAGCTGGGACTACAGGTGCATGCCACCACGCCCAGCTCATTTTGTACTTTTAGTAGAGATGGGGTTTCACCACGTTTGTCTTGAACTCCTGACCTCGGGTGATCTGCCCGCTTCGGCCTCCCAAAGTGCTGGGGTTATAGGAGTGAGCCACCGTGTCCTGGCGAGCAATTATATTCTTAATAGCCAAAAATCAGCTGGGCACGGTGGCTCATGCCTGTAATCCCAGCACTTTGGGAGGCCAAGGCGGTGGAATCACTTGAGGCCAGGAGTTCGAGACCAGCCTGGCCAACATGGTGAAACCCCATCTCTACCAAAAATACAAAAATTAGCTAGGTGTGGTGGCGTGTGCCTGTAATCCCAGCTACTCGGGAGGCTGAGATAGGAGAATTGCTTGAACCCAGGAGGCCGAGGTTTCAGTGAGCCAAGATTGTGCCATTGCACTCCAGCCTGAGTGACAGAGCGAGAGTCTGTCTCAAAAAAAAAAAAAAAGTAAACTGACAATTACACAGCAATGTGAGTGAATCCCACAAACATATCCAACAACAACAAAAACAGTCATACACAAAATTACATACTGTATAATTCAAGAAGAGGCAAAACTGTTTGACGATGATAGAACTCAGGATAGAGTTTACCTCCTGTGAAGGAATGATGTGGATTGGAAAGGGACATAGAACTTTATGGGGTGCTGGAAATGGTCTGTATCCTGATTTTACATCTGTAATAAGTCATCTTGTTTTTTTTTTTTTTTCTTTTGAGACATAGTCTCGCTCTGATGCCCAGGCTGGAATGCAATGGTGCAATCTCAGCTCACTGCAATGTCTGCCTCCCAGACTCAAGCAATTCTCTTGCTTCAGCCTCCCAAAGTGCTGGGATTACAGATATGAGCACCGCACCCAGCCTAAAAGTCATTTTGTTGTTATGACTTTAATGCACATCACTGTATGTTATACTTCAATTAATAAGTGAGAAAGAAAAATTCACATAATTCATAAATGACATCAAACAGTTTAGAAAAAAATGTCATCCTAGAGGGAAGTGATTTAAAGAAAGTATCTACTAGGAGTCTTATTATTCTTTTTAAAGGAAGTACTTTCATGAAGTACTATTTCTAATACATTTATTGAAATATAGTGGGCCGGGCGCGGTGGCTCACGCCTGTAATCCCAGCACTTTGGGAGGCCGAGGCGGGTGGATCACGAGGTCAGGAGATCGAGACCATCCTGGCTAACACGGTGAAACCCCGTCTCTACTACAAAATACAAAACATGTGGCGGGCGCCTGTAGTCCCAGCTACTCGGGAGGCTGAGGCAGGAGAATGGCGTGAACCCGGGAGGCGGAGCTTGCAGTGAGCCGAGATCGCGCCACTGCACTCCAGAATGGGCGACAGAGCCAGACTCTGTCTCAAAAAAAAAAAAAGAAATATAGTACATGTACAGAAAAGTATATAAATTGTCATTATATAACTTACTGAATTTTCACAAAGTCAATAGCCTGTATAACCAACACCTAGATCAAAAATATTTTATTAGAACCTCAGAAGCCCCCTCATGCTTCCTCCTCCTTTCAATCTCTGCTGCTCTGCCAGTGGCTATTAATTTTAACATCCACTATGGATAGAGCGTCTATACCTCATGTTACTTCCCTCCAAATTTGGCTTGATAACTTCACAAATCTGTCTTCTCATAAACATTACAACCATCCCATCTCCTCCCCTTTTCTTTTATTTTTTTTTTTTGTTTTTGAGACGGAATCTCTCTCTGTCGCCAGGCTGGAATGCAATGGCACCATCTCAGCTCACTGCAACCTCCTCCGCCTCTCTCCTCCCTTTTTCATCAGCAACAAAGTCCTAGAGACTGTCTGGAGATGCTCTCAAGGCCATTATGACCACTGGCAGTCTGAGATCTTAAGAAGTTAACAGTGAGGCTGGGCATGGTGGCTCACGCCTGTAATCCCAGCACTTTGGTAGGCCGAGGCAGGTGAATCACGAGGCCAGGAGTTCAAGACCAGCCTGGCCAAGATGGTGAAACCCCATCTCTACTGAAAATGCAAAAATTAATTGGGCGTAGTGGTGGGTGCTTATAATCCCAGCTACTCGGGAGGCTGAGGCAGGAGAATCACTTGAACCCGGGAGGCGGAGGTTGCAGTGAGCCAAGATCGTGCCACTGCACTCCAGCTTGGGCGACAGAGTGAGACTCTATCTCAAAAAAAAAAAAAAAAAAAAAAAGTTAAAGAAGTTAACAATGAGAGCAGTTTGTTTTATTACAGTATGATCATTATCCAAACTTCTATAGCCCTTTTTTAAGAGGTGTATTGGAGATATTGGGTTGCCTCGTCACCAGTATACCTGCCTTTTCCCATTGAAGTTCAGAGGACACTTGGCATCGAGTTTGGAATGAGAATATCTAGATTGTGAAAAATTGTAACAGTCTCTAGAATTTATATGGTACTACAGTGCTGCTTCAAAGATTTCAAGTGATATTCCAACTGTCATCTTATTTATGTAGCCATTGTCTCTGAAGGGGGAGATGGCCAAGAGATCTTAATACACCATTCGTCCTGAATGGATGAGTGAGTTATGGGTCCCTGATCCTGATGGAATCAGGTCATGATTTAATGAGTGGCTCTAATGCTTTTTCCAATAAATTTGTACTAGATGTTACCATCTATATATTTCCCTATAAGCACACCTTAAAGAATTTTGTGATCTGTTGTTTTCTTCTCTCCAGGAGGTTGCCCCAAAGCCTGTTCTGATATCTACCCCCACACCCACCATTGTACGTCCTGGCTCCCTGCCTCTCCACTTGGGCTATGATCCACTTCATCCAACCCTTCCCTCCCCAACCTCTGTCATCACACAGGCTCCACCATCCAACAGGCAAATGGGGTAAGTACAGAGAGCAGGGAGAAATAGTGAAGGCTGCATTTCTTTCCATTACATGAAACTATTTGATAAAACTGAGACAGTTTTTCAGTACTCAAGGAAAATAAGTCACTGAGATTATCTCTCAAAATAAAATTTTTCCCCGTAAACAGAATCTTCTTTACCTTTTTAATAGACAAGCAAAATATTTATTTGGGGGTAATACTTTCTTAATTTAAGGGTAATACTTCTTTAATCTAAAAAGAGGAGCTCTTAAAACATTAAAAGTTCATTATGGTATAGAAACCACACCCTATAGAAGTCTGTTGGGGTACTGCTGAATGAAACACTGAAACCCATTAAGTCTCCTCAGTTCCAGTTAGGGTTCTTGGTCTTTGCCATCTCTAATTTTATTTGTCTGTTTGTTTTCACTCCTGGCACGGTACCCATGGGTTAAGAGGCTGTTGTCAGGATTCAGATTCTTAGAGCTTATTGTTCTCTGAACCCACTAGGAAAAATAAAAAGAGACAGCTTCTTTTTGAGGCAGGGTAGAGCAAGCCATGGAAAGGAACAAGAGAAACATTCAGATTTGGCCATCATGTGACCTAATCAGTTTTGCAAAATGACGACTTTGATCCAACTCCCCCTTTCCCAAGGCTAGCCAGTGGTAGGGATGTTTAATTGTTCTAAACCCTTTAATAGGATTAGCTTTCTACTATTTGAGTTTGCTTAATTTGCAAAGTATAAAGATGTTGCCATTTTTCTCCATCTATAAGGTAAGTTGAATAGGATTCCCTGCCTTCCCACATGAGGGTGTCAAGATTTTTACCATGCTGCCTTATACCTTCGCTAACTAGAGAAGACTGGAAAATCTTCTGTAATTATAGGAGGTAGATCCATGGACAAAAGGTCTATGTTATGAGCATTTCACTTCATGTCTCCTCTAGGTCTCCCACTGGCTCCCTCCCTCTTGTCATGCATCTTGCTAATGGACAGACCATGCCTGTGCTGCCAGGGCCTCCAGTACAGATGCCGTCTGTTATATCGGTGAGCTCTGTAGTTGGGGCAGCCAACCCTACCAACATGGTAATCCTTCCCTTCCACCTGAATGATCATAAAACACACACAAGCCCCAGGGAAATGTGGGCTCTGATCTATATTAGTTGAGCATGGCAGCCTGCCTAAACTCTTCGCTAACCTCTGCCAATCCAGCACTATGGAACACTAGATAAAGACTCATCTGGACAATTGGCTCCTAGTCTAGGAATTGATCTTGCCAGCCCACTGATTAGTTGCTTTCACTTGGCACGTAGCACCTCCCAAATTGTCCAACATTTTCCTCAAGATAACAGCCCCAACCCTTCCCACAGAAATTGTCCCAACACTGAAGGATTAAATTCCCTACTCTGTGGTGCTCCATGGAGAAAGGTATTTCCCAGGCTGTCCCTGCATGCCCTATGGGCACATTGCACACAACAGGCCCTGATGTGCCAACCTCAAAAGCACTTCATTTTAGGGAAACTGTTGCCCCACTGATAGTATTATGTTCCCTTCTGTTTTTTTTTTTTCCCCTTCTCTCGATCCAGCTGGCCAGACCTGTGTCCATGGTGCCCAACATTCCTGGTATCCCTGGCCCACCAGTTAACAGCAGTGGCTCCATTTCTCCCTCTGGCCACCCTATACCATCAGAAGCCAAGATGGTG